TCTTTCCATTCTGCAATAGTTGCAGAATCGGAATGTCCTGCAGTTATTAAATTGTCAGCAATTGTATTAACTTTCGCAACTCGTTCTCCTCCAACCGATTCAGTATCACGTGCAAACTCACTAAATCTTTCTGAAAGCAGTGTAACATGGTCAAAGTCTTGACCGAGTTCCTGAGATCCAGCCACAACTTCTCTATCCGATATCCATTGTTCTAAGTCATCAACTTCCCGGCTTAACATAAATAACTGTAAAGCTTCATTTAATCTTGCTCGACGTTCTCCAGCAAGGTCTTTTAGGCCGGCATACAGTTTATCTAGTTGAGACTGTTTAACTGCAACAGCATCGCCACTAGAAACATCATCTGCATTGAATTGACGAGCAAGTTCACCCAGCTGACGAATAGTATTTGCGTAATCTTCTACAGACTGTTCGAGATTTTCATGCTTTTTCATTAAGTTCTGCGCGCTAATTTCATCTTTACCACGGTCCTCTACCATCATATATAATTCCAATTCACTCATCCAAGATTCAGCTTCTTGTGCATCAAAGAAGTATTGTTGTACTTTTTCTGACTCCAACAAATGTTTCTTACGTTGTTCAATTGCATCCTTAAGTTCCTGCCATTTTTGTGTTAAGTCACTAATTAAACTCTCAAACTTCTTAGAATCTTCATGACCTTCATCGATTAGTTTTCTGCCATTATGACATATGGACATTATTCTTGGTTCATGATTATCAATTTCTGTAGAAAGTGATTGATTCTTTTTTTTCAAGACATGCACATTAAATAGTGAATTTCCATAATTCTTTGAATTGGCCACAGGTAGTTTCTCATCAATCCAAAGTTTCTCATCTTCAATATCGCGACAAAACTGAAATGCTTCTTTTTTCTTTTCTAACTGTTTTTGGTGTTCAACAAGAGGAGCTTTAATTTTTTCAAACCGCTCAAGAACTGCTGTTTTCTTTACTACAATAGGTTCAATTTTTTCTTCCGGGACTGTTTTCTGCAAATATTCTGTTTGTTTATCGATTTCTTCAACTTGACGTGCTTTAACTGCCATTTGTGTTTGAATTACTTGTTGTTTTTGCATAAGAATATTAACAGAAGTCAAATCATTCCCAGTATCCGCATTTACAATTTGCTTTTCAAGCTCTGTAATATATGAATCGATATCATCGCATGTTTGTTGTACTAAGACTTCACGATTTGCATCGAACAGTACGGCTCCTTTCTCTTTTGTGTGAACCTCAAGGTCATCAAATTGTTTAGCAAGTTCAATAAGTTTGGGCTCAATAACGTCTTTAAATTCAGGTTTTTCTTTTGATAGTTCTTGAGCTGCTCTTTCTGCTTCAAATAATCGTTCTTTATTAGCAGAAACCTCTGCTTCAAATGCCTGATGTCTTGTCCATTTTGAATGTATAGTTTTAGCACTTCGGTATGTTTCATCTTGTGAAGTAACATATTTTTCTTGCACCCATTCGGTCAGTTCCTCTAAATCTTGTAAAAATTCATGGAGCTTAACTTGGTTTTTAAGTTTCTCATGTTGGTCTAAAGCACGCTCACGATTGTCATCTCGTCGAATTCCAATATTTTCTGCCCTTTTACCGATCTTATCTGAATCAAAATGCTCCTTTTCAATCAAGGAATCAGCTACTTGTAATAAAGTATTTAATTTATCATCATTTGCTTCCATAGTTGTAAGAAAAGCTTCATGACGTTTTAGTTGATTTTCAGCTTGCTCTAAGTTTACAGGTGTATCGTCTTTGCTTAGAAAATGTTCCTGTTGACTAAGCAGTACTTCTGTTTGTCTAGCATCGCGATTGAATAATTGTTGGTCAAGACTTTGTGATAAAAGAACTTGTCGATTTTCCCACATTTGATGCAAATCCTCCCACCCATTTTTCAACGCATTTAATCGTTCCCGCAAAAACATGTATTGTGGATCATCTGATGTGCTAGATTCTGATGTCAAACGTTCACCATATTCCATCATATTTTTGTAATCTTCAGTATAGTTATCAATTTCTTCCCTAATAGATTGATGCTGATTAAGTAATTTCTCGGCTTCTTGTAATGATGTAGGAGTGTCTTCTGATGCTACATCGGTTTGTGTTTTTGTTAACCACGTTTGAAAATGATCTAAATCGCGTAGGAACCGATGTAAATCTCCAGCTTCTTCAAGTTTAGAATCTCGTTCTTTAAGCATATGTGTCAATTGTTCCCAAATAAGTTCGATTTGCGCAATTTTGTCACGAATTATTTGAGCTTCCTCAGGATGATCGGATTCAATACCATTAGCTTCCTTTCCAAGACTTGATAATTTTGCTTGAATTGCAGCTAAATCTCTCTCCATACCACTAAGACGTCTCTGCAATGTCATAACACCAGTTAAATCCATTTCTAAACTATCAGTTTCAGTAAGAATTCTTTTTTTATCTTCAATCCATGAAATAGTTTCACGACACTCAATATAAAATGTTTGGACCCCATGTGCGGCTTTAAGGTCGTCCATTTTGGCTTCTGATTTTTCGCGCAATAAAGACCATTCCTGATTGAGGTGATTCTGCCGCTCAAGTATTTCATCTGAATTTGGATGCTCCACATGCAACAATTGTCTAGCTAATTGATTTACTACTGCTACTCGTGAAGCGTTAGCATTCATTTCTTTATCAAAACCTTCAAACCGATGCTTCATAATTTCAACATCTTCAATATCTTTACCTGGTACCATAGTATCAAGCATTTTTGTTTTTTCTCTAATCCATTGTTCAACACCATCAGCTTCCGACATAAGTTTATAGAGACTTAATGCATCCAAAAGACGTTGTTTTCGCAACTTTGCTAACTCAGTTAGTTCCTTATATCGTGTTTCTATTGCTAAAAGACGTTTATCTACATTTACTTTTTCGGTTTCATTTAATTTTAATGAATTGCCTTGTTTGTGAAGAATGTCTACAACTTCTTCATAGTTTTTAAGTTCATCTGCAACCTCCTTATGCTTCTTTAATAAAGATTGCACATTAGCCTCATCTCGACCAATATCTTCACTTGATACAATTCTTAATGTATCTAACATCCAATTATCTGCATCATCGGCATCTGCGAATAATTGAAAATATTCGACGGCATTTTCCAGCCGCTGTCGTCTATACTTCGTAATATCTAATAAGTGATCCCACTTAGATAAAATTTCTTTTAAACGATCTTTAATACGATCTGCTCCAAAATGTCCTTCGGTTATTAATTCTGCGCCAATCTTTGCTACATTTTGAAGTTGAGAATCATGTGAAGTTATTTCCGACTCCAAAGCTTTATGTTTACTTAAAAGTAAATTAACAGTAGTTAAATCATGTCCAATTTCGTCCGTTGACATAATTTGTTCCTTTTCTTTAATCCAGTTTTCTTCATCTGCTGTGTCCCAATAGAACTGCCATAGTTTTCTACTTTCTTCTAATCGACTTCGACGTTCAACTGCTAAACGTACAAGCTCAGCATATGCATCTTCTAGCTGCTGTACACGACTCACAATGATATCAGGATCGCAAGGTTTATATGATTCTATGTCATCACTAAGGAATTTTTGCGAATTTTGAACAACAACTTTGACACGTTCACCAAGAATGTTGATATCAGCTTCAACAAGTGAGTGCTTTTGAAGCAGATCTTCCACACCCATCAAATGTTTGCCATAATCGTCGGTTAAAAGTAATTGCTTGATTTCCTCCATATTATCCAAAATATACAACATTTCTTGAAAGTTCTGTTGTAATTGTAAAGAAATTTCTAAGCGCATTCTTCGTGCTCTAAGTAATTCTAATAAATAATTCCATAACCGCATCACATTCTCTTTACGAAGTAATATACGTTTGACGTCATGATAGCGTTCTGATTCCAACTCATCGCAAACAGCTACAACAGCTTGTACTCGTTCTTCGTAGGCAAATATATCTGTTTCAATAGCTTCATGTTTTTTAGCTGCAGCTTCAACTGCTGCAAGATCAAACCCAAAGTTGTCTTGACTGACAAGTCTTTGATTTTCGGATAACCAAGTTTCACGCATTGAGGCTTTACGATCGAAACGTGCTGCAAGCTGTTCTAACTTTTCTTGTCGAATTAATTCTTCTCGAAGAGCTAATTCACGTTCATGTTCAGATTTTTCTAAACGCTCCCAAGCTTTATTAATATCAGAAATCATTTTGCCCTCTTTGGGTGTGTAAGGTTTTTGGTTATTTGCACGCATTTTTGATTGTAATGTAAATAGTAGGACTTCTAAATTTCCTTTTTCAACAAATTTAGGTGGTTTTTCAATAGTTCGGTAATTAGAAAACTGTGCGAGTTGTCCTTGTACACCAACTAGAGAATTCACAAAATCACGTTCGCCAAGTGTATCAATTGTAGTTTCAATCCACTTTAAAAGATCACTGGTAAAATTTTCATAATCTTGAATCATTTTATCATTTTCCATTGCTATTCCCACTACTTTTCCAATACGTTTTCCCTGAACAGTTTCTTGTTTAAGTTTGCTGAAGTAGTGGTAATAAGTAACTACATAAGTTATAATTGATTTCTCATCTGGATGTTCAACGAAAACGTCCTCTGCGTCAAGTAATTTTGCAAGACCAAGTTTATCTTCAGCAATATCAAATGCATTATTTAAATTATGAATTGCGTTGCTTTTCGATAGTTTTTCAAACTGAAGTAAATCTGGACGATGTTTATGTATTATAGCATTAAATGCCAGTCCATCTCTCCATGATGTGGTAAAATTTCTAACGTTGACATTATAATAACCTGCAGTTTTCATTTGACACCAAAGAAGTAAGGCATCTTTTGCTGACTTAGTTTCTTTGTTGTCAACTTCTTCTATGGTAATGTCTTGAATCTATGTGTGATTAATAAAAAACAAAAATAAATAACAAATCAATAAAAAACTTTAGCCAAATATCATTTAATTTAAGTTATATTAAATTATATATCTTCAAATGACATTAAAGTTAATATCGTAAATTTATGTAAAATTAATAAACTTTAGCTACATATCATTTCGTAAGAAAGCATAATATATTATTTCCTATATAATTGCGGATAAATCCGTATATTTCCTTTAGCAGCTGTAGTCATTTTCAATGTATATTATGTTGAGGCCAGTTGAGTCAGTGCACCTGAGCACTTTTACTCTCTATTATCTGCGAGGTTTCTTCAAAACCCCTCCTTGCGCCTTGACTGGATTATTGTTTATCACTTCATCAGACTATGCAATAATTGACCTCAGATCTGCATATCTCCCCGAGGAGCCAACTCAATATATATTTTAAATATATATATTTAAATATATAAAAAAAAACAGTAAAACTTTCATAACTCGAACTTCTATAACTCGAATTTTCTATAACTCAAACCAAAAACAGTGCACCAAGGTTTTAGAGAGCAAATTACATAGAATTCTGCCAGTTGTTGGCAACGTGGTAAATAAAATAAATTCCTATGCTACTCTTAACGATTATATTGAGCTTGACAATGAAATTGTTATATCAAGCTTTCCTACAGATGACGATATTATTGAGCTCTATAGCTCTAAATTACTGGATCCAATTCTAAGCGCAACGGAAAGTGATGATGAGGGTTAGGTGGATGCAATTGTTTATTCCTTCCAAGAATCAAGTAGAAGGCTCATTCAATATTCTGAATATATATTTGCAAACGAATGATAGTACAACTGATGATCACTATAAGAGTATGAATAAAGTGGAATCTCTTTTTATTGAAAACAAGAAAAAAATTAAAGTCCCAAACTCCAATTTCTGAATATTTATTTCACTAACATATAACTTCTGTGCTTAATTTGATTGCAAATAAATAAATATCTTAAAATGTGATTTTAGTTTCTTTCAAAAATAAAAAAAATATAAAAGAATTCTCTAACTCGAAGTCTCCATAAGTCGAACCTTTTCTTTGCAAAATTGGACTTCGAGTTATGGAAGTTTGACTGTACATATATTAATATATATTAATATATTATATATATATATATGTAGGATTCCTTTTTATTAGAATCAAAACTAATTAATTAAATTACAAAAAAAATATATATAAATGAAAAAAAACTGTTTGTTCTTCCGCACACACGTCATTACTTCACACGTCTTCTTTCTGCACTGCCACACTACGTTTGTTTCTTCTTTTTTACTTCCTTATGCTCGTGTGCTGGCGTTGCCAGATCTGCGTCCCACATATATATATATTTAAATATATATAAATATTAAATATATAAATTCATATTTTTTTTCTTAAATTTAGGTACAATCAAAAGATATTAAAATAGTAGTAAAGTACTAAGTTAGTTGGCAATATTAAACCAAATCGGCAAATAAATGGAGCATAAACTCCATTTAAGCCTAGTCATAGGCTTACAAACTATTGCCTCAACTTACTGGAGTCGTATCTAAACAAAATTTTAGTCAGACACAAATTATTTTCAACATTCAAGAAACATAAATATAAGCAATTTAAAAATAACATAAGGCCTTTTCTGTGGCTCGCAAGTATGCCTCAAAATGCATGCTGGCCTATATTGGCTTCACTGGCCTATATAACAAATTTGTCAAGTGTTATGTTTTGACAAATAGCAAAACTAGCATAATGCAAGCAAATTATATTGTGTATAAAAATAAATAACTAACATAAATTGAATATTAAATTGAATACAAAATTAAAAGGAATGGTAAAAATGTTGAAAATTTCAAAATAAAATACTGAAATTTTTCTTTTTTTTCCCAATTTTCAAACTTATGAAATTTTTGAATTTTGTTTGAATATTCATTTGCATATAATTTTTGACATATGATTGCAATATTCGTGGGAAGCAAGAAATCATGAATCATACATATGAAAAATTTCATAAAGTCTACATTATACGCAAATTACTCCTTTTTGCAGCAAATTTTCTTTTTCAGAAATATACACATAGCAGAAAAAGTCTACGGATATTCACAAAATTTTTTTTAAATTACGCATAACTTTTTTAATTTTTACTCAAATTCATTTTTATTTTCTAATTTATTTTAACCAAAGAAACAACAATAAAGTTCTAATATAAAAAATTAACAATTATTCTTTAAAAAAAAATTAAATACAATTATATGCAAAAGTAGCAATTTTTGAAGCAGAAAAAGTCTACGGATATTTCTTAATATTTACATTACCGCTAAATACTTCCTAAAGAGTCTAAAAATTATCATTAAATAATATTTTTTTATATAAGGAATAAATTTTTACAATATAAAATAAAAGACGTGAAATTAGTTTTAGTGAGCGACAAATAACTGGTAAATTTTAGAAAGATGACGTAAGCCAAAGTAAAATTGCTGAAGACTTACGTTTCTAACCTCACACTGGCCGCCCCCCACAAATTTGTCAAATAGAGAAAAACGTAGCATACTCAACCAGGTGAAAGTAAATCCAAGAATAACAGTCTTCAAACTAGCTGAACATATTACCGAAATACTTGAAAACAAAATATGTCCTGATACTGAGCGGAAAATTTTGAAGAAATGCATGTATTATACCCTGATTGCAGGAAAGAAGCCATACATATCCAGATATAGTAGAATAAAATGATAAAGCTTTGCAAGAAAGCATATAAATAAACCTATAAAGTTCTGAAAATGAGTTATTTTCTCCGATGAGAGTTAATTTTAAATATTTGGAATCAAAGTAGAAAAATTGTGTGGAGAAAATCATATACGGCCTATGATAAATAAAACTTAATTTCAACGGTGAAACATGGTGGTGGAGGCGTAATGGGTTGGGGGTGTATAACAAGTAATGTGCCAGTAAACTTGAATTTATAAAGGATACAATGGATAAATATGGGTATCTAAATATTCTAAAAACAAATTTGAAAGCAAATGACAGAATGTTAGAGCTTGAGGCAACATTTTTGTTTCAGCAGGGCAATGACTCTAAGCATACAGCAGTCATAGTACGGATTTGGATGCTGTACTATGCTCTCAGGCAACTTCAAACACTACCAGAATCACCAAACTCCTATACCAGTTAGATACTGTGGGTATACAGTTAGAACATCTGTGGGTTTATTTGGAAAATAAGATTCGCCAGCATATGTTTTCCGGCAAGGATATAGTAAGAAACGTCATCATAGAAGAATGGGTAGAAATAAACGCACAGGATACTGCAAAGCTAGTTGAGTCCATGCAAACACGCTTAACAGAGGTTATTAAATGCAGAGGTTATCCCACAAATTTAAGATTTTTGTGAATTTTATTGTTTTAATGTAAATATTAAGAAATATCCGTAGACACATCTTAAGTGCACATCTTGTGTGCACAAACAAAACGCACATTTCACACAAATGTGGTAAGTGAAATAAAACTCGCACACGCATTCGGTGTTTGTGCCGAAGTTATTTCGCACACAACGTGTACAGAAAAGAATACGAGGAGCACATTTTGTGAGCAGACTCGAAAATAAAAATGCACCCAAATGTGCGGAGACGAAAGGTCTACTGCACATTCGTGTGAAATGATGGTTTAAAAGCGCACAATATTATGATGAATAACGCAACAAAATAGTATGGAAGACTGATTTGCATTAATTTTGGTGTTAAGGCAAAATATTTTATTGAAAAAATAATTTTCTATTTATATTTTAATTTTGAATTTATTTTTAGATTTACATTTATTGCTTATATTACTTATTAATTTAAGGTTTATTAATTTAAAACATGGGAATAAAGTTAATTTTACAATGTACTTGAAAACTTTGTTATAATACAAAATATAAATAACTTATGATATACGAGTTAAATAGGTACATGAATTTAATAGAGAAAGAGAATTTGTTTCGAAATGTTATAAGTAAAGAGGATCGGTTCTACGGATTACTTTGAAAAAATTAAATATATCAATTTTGGACTACTGCATAAAATTTTATTTATCACTTAATCATCACTTAAAAATTAAAATAAACACTATAGAGTATTGTTTTTATCCTTTAAGGTGTAAGTGATTAACACGACTGAGGCTTAGTTTGTTTGTTTTTTATTTAAGAGTATCACTTAATAGTATTTTACCTAATCTATTATTAGTATTCATTCATATATTTCTGTGGAAACTAATTGCTTTGCATTTAAAAATGTTGTGTCCTACCAAAAGAGTTAAAAATTTTACTTCTTTTTCATGTTTTTTAAGTTGATATTAGCAAATCTAAGCATCCTGCTACCTGTTCAAGAAAACATTTTGCTAATTTTTCGCGTTTTTTAATGAATGTTAGATATTCTACCCAAGTGAATACATATTTCTGGGGAAGAAAAATATCTATTTGTGGCCTACCAGTATTATCTTTTTTAAACTGTTGCAAAACTTATTAAACAAATACACCAATACCAATACCTGCTACCTGTTCAAGAAAATATTTCTTTCGTGTTTTTTAATAAAAGTTAGATACTCTACCTATATAAATACATATTTTTTGGGAATTAAAAAATCTTCCTAAAATATGTTTTTATTTCTTTTAAATTGGTGCAAAACTTACCAAACAAATACTTTAAGTTCAGTTATTAAATTTGCATTTAAAAATACGCAAAAGTTGGGAAGTAATACACAAAAAACTAATATTTTAAGTTAAAATACAAATAAGGTTAAGACAGTTATAATCAGTGAACGAAAACAAACACTAAAGTACAAAACATAGTGTACTGTTTGTCATCTTTGTTACAAAACACTAAACGAACAGTACATTAAAAAAAGTCCGAAACAATTCAACAATTTTTAGAGTTTGTGTACTTTTCACGAAGGTAGTGCTCATTATAACGATCTTTTCACGAAGGTAGTGCTCATTTTAGTTATCTTTTGCCGAAGGTAG